CGTTATCCAGTATTTGACAAATTTAATTTTTTGATACTATTTTTTAACGGGATTTGAACATCCCCATTTCTCTACACTTTTTTCTCCCAACACTGTATAATAAAATAAAAGAAAATAGATGAAAAAAACACCTGATCAACAGCATAATACTATAAAACTTACATGATTCCAAAATCTATAAGCGCCAGTTGATTTGCATAGTAAACGATGGAAAAAAAAGTATGACAAAAAAAAAAGTGGCATAGCAAAAAAAAAGCAAACTACCTTTTCATACTATTTTCCATATCCGGTGGAACATTCAGTATCCAGAAACCCATTTAATCACATAAAAATAAATTTTCCCTACAAATTCAGCATAGAAGGTTCCGTTTTTGCGGTTCAAAAAAAAAGCACTGAACTTTCAGTTAAGAAATAACAGTTTCCAAAGAGGGCAAATTCAGAAAACACTCTCCGCAGTCACATAGCTTGGAATATTGAAAAGTCAGAAACAACCAAAAAAAACCCCCAGTAAATTCCTCCTTTTTAGCTTGATTATTTTTTTTGGCAAACTTTTTTTCTTTTTTTTTATCCTAACTGGATATATATCAGTCACTAAATTTATATTGGGTGACAATTAGAGAATTCGAGATGATCAGTGAGAAGAGAGAACGTTGCCAATAATTTTTTCTTTCGCTCCTTTTTTTTCTCTCTCTTCTTCCCCCGGAAGCTTCTTAGTTTTTTACAGCTTCTTTTGTTTTTGCTCTTCTTTTTCTCCTTGGCTCGGCTGCTTAGACTAATTTATAAGGCAAAATTTTCAGCAACAAATCTTCAATATTCAATCGGTTTCTGTCACTGAAGCTGTGTATAGAATGAAGACAAATTTGTCGATCAACTTTTTGCGTAGCTCGTGTGTTGTTGAATCACACTCGATCACTGGTAATGAGAACAATGTTGGTAATTTCAGTAATAACCACAATAATGACAAATAAAAAAGTTCGAGCTTGTTGCTTAATTAAGAGAATCCGTATGATTAGTGAGACGAACAAAAAATAACAGATAAATTAAAAAATTACGACTTGTTAACAATCAATTTTTTTGTCATCCGTTGATATAGCTTCTGTCAATTTATTTATGCTTTTCTTTCACTTTTTTTTTTGTGCTTAATTTGTGTCAATATCTATTACGTTAAAAAAGACTCAAGTAATTTCTAGCAGCAGTCTTAAAGTACAAATTACTGTTACTGCAAAACTGATTATCCGGTTCATAAGTGGAGAGAGAAAAAAGATAAAAATACAACAAGTAATAGAAGAAATAGAAAAAAACTAGAAAATAAAATAAATAACAAATTAGAAAATAAAGATTTCATGAAAATTGCCGTTATACGTCATTTCAGACAGTCATTGCTGAAAGTCGACAAGGTAAAAAAATAAAATCTTTTGATATTCTAACCGTCCTCTTTCATCCGCAGTCCCCTCTCAGGCCCTCAGTTCCAGTCACTATCCCCAGATTACCCTCCACACCGTTAAAGCTGTCAGCTTCGCCCACTCTTGATCTCCTTCCTCCCAGGTTCTTTCCTATCTACAGTGCTTTGCAGGACAAGGATTTTTTGGCGGAAATGAAAAAAATTTTAAAATTGTTCAACACTGATGTGTTAAATAGTGTTTAAATTAAAGTGTACTTGAAATGCTAAGAAAAGAAGGCCACAAACAAAAACGAAGAACAGTTTGTTCATTTTGTTGCTGCTGTTGTTGTTGTCCTTGTTGCCGGCATAAAACCTTAATATAACACTTCATTCAGCTTCAAAAAGCTGTTTAAATGAGAAATTATTTAGTGTCGCTACAAATAAAAACTTCCATCTAGGCAACAAAAAAAAAAAAAAAAGAACCATCGGGAAAGAGGAAGAAAAGCGTTTAGAAAGTCTTCTTCTTTCTCCTTTTTTTTTTTGCAAGAATTCCAAAGCATGATTGGGCAAAATTTATGAAGAACGTCAAAAAAAATTATTCTCGGTGAAAGGAAGAAGACAACACAATTGCGTGTTTAACGGCCAAAATAAAAGATTCGCAAAAAAACTAGAAGCAAGAAGAAGAAGAAGAATGACAAGGTTTGGGAAAGAAAGACAACGAAGGCGAAAACCAAGAAGAAGATAAAGACGAGAAAGGAAGCTGAACAAATAGTCTCCCCAAAATACACCTTTTTTTGCCATTATCGCTTTCCAGCTTTTCTTTCATAACATTTTGCTTTTTTTTTTTTTACCCAAGTGGAAACAAGAAAAAGTTAATGAACAAATACTGTTACAGTAATAATAATAGTGATAATAATAATAATAATAATAATAATGAATTATAACAATAATAATGCCAAAAATAAAAGTAATAATAATAATAATAATAATAATAATAATAATACGATAATTATAAAATTATAACTCGTTGAACTATTGAAAGACAAATCTCTTTTTGTCAAAAATATGTAGGTTTCACTGCGTAAAGTTCGTTTTTGTTGCCATATACATAAAAGTTCTTTTACCGTTGTTCACACCTCGTTTTTAGGGAAGACATACGGCAAGGAACTTTGATTATATTTTCAGCAATTCAAATTAACGCTAAACAGAAAAGAGAGAAAAAGAAACGAAAAAAACTCCTTTCCCTGATTGAAAAAAATATATACAAATGCTAAGCTGTTAAGGGCAAAAAGTTGAGCATAAATGAGCAAACATCTGAAAAAATAAACAACTAAATAAACAAACAAAGAAATAAAAAAAGAGTAATTTTTTCTGATTTTTTTTTTTGACTCATCAACTGCATAGGTATTTGCTTGTTACAGCTACGTGTATTTTTACTCCATATTTTTGAAAAGAAACACATATAAAAGCTAAATAGAGTTTTTGCTTCCTTCTGTATCAAGAAAATTTTAAAACAATGAACATTTTCCCTCTCCATGACAAAAAACAGTAAAAAGTCCTCATCAGTAACGGTGGTGAAAACCCAACAACCAGAGGAACAAGGAGAGGAAAAGAGAGAGCGAAAATGAAAAATAACTGCAAAAAAAAAAAGCTGATGAAGAAGAAGAAGAGGATGATGACGATTACTAAGAAAAGGTAAACCCTATCAAAAGTGAACAAGAATGTACCAAATAAAAAATAAAATCTACAACAACTCTGTAATTTTAGTTACAACGGAAAATGAGTGGCTAAAACAGTCCCATCAAAAAAATCCATGGCTGTTAAATTGTTGAACACAGAACAACATCCTAAGAGCTAAAAAAATCGACTTGAAATATACTTTTGTTGACTGTAGGAGAAGAAACACCTACGACAAATGGAGTTCAATTTCCTTTGAAAATCACTCATTCATCTCCATTACTGCCGGCAACGCTATCACCACAACCATTACAAAAAAATAACCCAGAGATAATTTAACGTTTTGTTGTGTACCTATATGTATCTACCCATTGTCTATCCATCAATCTATGTA